TTCGCAATTCAAAGATATCTTAATGATTTTAATGTCCCATTAATTTTAGCATGCGTTGTTGCCAATTTTTAGATTTTTACATTCATCCATTTTTACAAATCCGCAAGTATAAAAAAGGACTCTATGTTGATTTGAATAAAAAGTTGTCTATTCGATAGTTCGTTTGATTTTGCATCCATTGATATATTATACCTACCTCGCATGAAAATGCTTTGCTCGCGAGATATGGCCATTTTTGTAAACAGCTTTATGGAGCGACGACGCCTTGTTAAGTCCAGGCAGATAGAAATTTTAACTTTCAAAAACACCGGGTAGCATTATTAATTCCATGATTTCCTGTGTAATTTTTGACGCCGAATCTGAATTTAACATTTCATCAAAAATTGTTGCCCGAAAGTTGCCAAAGAAGTTGTTCCGAAAACGCCGATTCCCCTCCCCCCTGGATTTTGCCCAAACTTTGTTCAGATGTTGTACTAGGTGTCCCCGATGCTTGGGCAAAATTTCAGCCCCCTCGGATAATTAGGGGGAGGGGGCAGGGGGGGGCAAAGTTGCAATTTTTTCAAAACTTTAAAAAGGCCCAGGTGGTGACACAATCTCTGCCTCGCCCGCGCGGGATGGAGCGCCGCCGATATGCCGCCCGCGCGTAACCGGGAACGCACAGAAAAATCGCTTTAACTCAAGAACGAATCGTTTCTCCAAGGTCGAACAAAGTGTGATAGATGCAGAATTTAATGGAAAATCACCTCAACAGGTTTTTATTCTTGCAGCAACGATTGCTTGGAGAGAAGAGACGATAAATGAAAAAGTCGAACCTTCAAAATCGAAAAAATCGATTTATGACTACGATAAATTACACAACCGTGCAAACATCATCAATATTCTAGTAGATAATATTTTTTAACGTGTTTTAACGCAAACCGCAACACTTACGCTCAAACCGTTCGCGATTACATCGATGTTTAAATCTTTGAAAAAATTGCAACTTTGCCCCCCCCCCCCCTCCCCCCTAATTATCCGGGGGGGCTAAAATTTCGCCCAAGGTTCGGGGACACCTAGTACAACATCTGAACAAAGTTTGGGCCAAATCCAGGGGGGCCAAAATCGGCGTTTTTGGAACAGCCTCTTTGGCAATAATGGCTTAAAATCAGTCCCCTTTTTTTGCGAATTTTGGCCTGTACTTGCCAGGAGTAGATCTGACGAAAAAATTGGCTATTTCCATAGTTGAAACTTGTTGAATTTTCTACAAGCTGGATCCTGCTTTCTGCTCACGGCAAAATTGAGAAAAGTGAAAAAAGGCAAGATGAGGCAAGGTGAAATTGGCGCTTTTTGCGGTTTTTGTCCTTCGTGTCTTGTTTTCCTACTAAGGGAGTGTTTCTTTAACTAAACGAATGAACAAGATGAGCAGAAGTTGATACCCTGCTAAAAATTTCTCATGAGAATGACATGCGATCACATGCGCTCTCACGGGAATGGCATGTGATCACATGTGCCCTCACGAGAACGGCATGTGATCACATGCGCTCCCAGGGGAATGACATGTGATCATATGTGCTCTCAGGGGATTGACACGACATCACATGTGCTCCCCTGGGGAATGGACAGGGGAGCCCGTGAGCTCCCATGGGAGCTAACATCTGACCCGTGCGCTCCTATGAGAGTGTACATGTGAGTATGTGACCCTAGGGTGCGTCCAAAAAAATGAAAGTCTGAAATGTTCCGCTCCCCAGGCGGCAATCGATGACGTTTAGTAAAAAAACATGTTTGCCAAAATTTGGGCCAATTTCAATCATTTTAAATGGTGCCAAAGGTCAATCTTGTGATGAAATTATGATATTTTGGTTTAGACCTCGATTTCGTACAAAAAACTCGATTTTACGCTGAAATCGTGCGTTTACGAGAAAAATGTCAAAGAACTCGACTTGTAGAGGATGAAATTTTACACTAGTAGGACGTCTTTGTAACCGATAAAAATCAAATTGAACTAGAAAAACTCAACGCGGTATTTATTTTTTTGGTCCTCAGAATTTCCGAGGTCTTACTAAGTAGAGGTTTAAAAGACTCATTTTTCACGAAAATAAGTCGAAAGAGGGTGTAAATGAACTGTAGGCAAGTGTTGAGGATGCAAATGTCATCAGAACTTCCTCAGTTTCAAAAAAAGTTCCAACTATTTTGCACAATCCTCCAAAAAGTGTACGACTCGAGAAGCAGGATCGTGCTGTAATAGTAGGGGGAAAGTGCGGTTTGACCGGGAAAAATTGCTTGACAAACTTTCCCTATGTAATCGTCATCAGTAGGTCCCCCTGAACAACTTCCTAAAAGTTAAAAATGGCCCGACCCCGGAACACCCCTCTAAGTACCTAAAATTCAAAATGGCGGCCGTAAAAAGGGGTCCGACAAATCTGTATTTTAAAATGTTCATTCTGTGTCATCATGTGAGGTAGCATTTCCTATGTAATTTTGGTCGTAGATTTCATAAATGAATTCCGCAAGGCCCCTTCTGAGCTTACGTTTCTCTCGGTAGTCGTATGTTTCCTTTAATTTCCTTTATTAAATACATTTATAACATCAAATTTAAGTTTCTTGGCCATCTATCTATACTATAAGCTCCAAGCGACCTCCTAATTTTGCGAAACTGGTAACGCTTAGTTCCAGCGTTCTACCGGGCCGATTTTCATGATTTTTGCGGCTTTCGACGGGCAATTGTCTCTAGATAAGCCAACTCTTTTCAGATTTTCAAAATATGGCCCAGGTTTATTTATATTACGTGGTAAAGTTGCGAATTCTCCCATTTAAACAATGTAAATTTATACTTTTTGTCATAGTTCGTTTGAGCGTTCTACCGGGCCGATTTCCATGATTTTTGCGTAAATCGACAGGTAATAGGCCCTAGGTGAGCCCGCTATAATCAGATTTTGGAAAAAAGACCCAGGTTTTTTTTTAAAATCACGTTATAAAAGTGAGTGAGTTTACAGAATGCTCCGGTACTGCCACCGCTATGCGCGGGAGGATGCGCAGTGGTCGAGGAGGTTGCGCAGTAGATGTGTAGCCTGCGCATCAACTCTACACTTATCTACACTAGATTCGCATCTCATACCTCACGTCGAGCAGTGGCCGAGTTGTCTAAGACGTCGAATGCGTCCATTTTGCACCCGGTGTTGGTTCGATCCCCGATTCATGAAGACCTACTTATTACCTGACTAACATTGTTCATTGTTTTACTGCAATATTTCATCAAGCAGTCATTACCAAACGCGTCCTTTTAATTTTAAAGTAATTTTAAGTAAAGTTTAAAATTAAAGTATACCTCATATATATCGTAATTTTTTAGGGGAAAAATAAAACTAACACCGATAGGAGGGTAATAATAGGGCCGCGAAGCGGCCCATTGATGGCGCGGAGCGCCTTCAGGGGGTTGGGCCGCGTAGCGGCCAGGGGGCGTAGCCCCCTAGTAAATACATGAAAATAAAGACACTTCACTTTCCTTGTTCCTTCGGTGAATATTTAAAAAAATGCAACCTCCTGCCTTTCACATTTGGCCGCCATCTTTGATTTGGAGCGCCCCCTTTGGCCGGAGGGCCTTGCGGAATTTATTTATGAAATCTACGACCAAAATTACATAAGAAATGACACCTCACATGACACAGAATGAACATTTTAAAATACAGATTTGTCGGACCCCTTTTTACGGCCGCCATTTTGAATTTTAGGTACTTAGAGGGGTGTCCCGGGGTCGGGCCATTTTTAACTTTTAGGAAGTTGTTCAGGGGGACCTACTGATGACGATTACATAGGGAAAGTTTGTTACGCAATTTTTTCCGGTCAAACCGCACTTTCCCCCTACTATTACAGCACGATCCTGCTTCTCGAGTCGTACACTTTTTGGAGGATTGTGCAAAATAGTTGGAACTTTTTTTGAAACTGAGGAAGTTCTGATGACATTTGCATCCTCAACACTTGCCTACAGTTCATTTACACCCTCTTTCGACTTATTTTCGTGAAAAATGAGTCTTTTAAACCTCTACTTAGTAAGACCTCGGAAATTCTGAGGACCAAAAAAATAAATACCGCGTTGAGTTTTTCTAGTTCAATTTGATTTTTATCGGTTACAAAGACGTCCTACTAGTGTAAAATTTCATCCTCTACAAGTCGAGTTCTTTGACATTTTTCTCGTAAACGCACGATTTCAGCGTAAAATCGAGTTTTTTGTACGAAATCGAGGTCTAAACCAAAATATCATAATTTCATCACAAGATTGACCTTTGGCACCATTTAAAATGATTGAAATTGGCCCAAATTTTGGCAAACATGTTTTTTTACTAAACGTCATCGATTGCCGCCTGGGGAGCGGAACATTTCAGACTTTCATTTTTTTTGACGCACCCTAATGTGACCCGTATATGTGCTCTCGCGGGACCTCTCACGGTGTCCCGTGGATCATCATTGAACTTCCGGAAAAATAACACGGGCCCAAATGTGACTGCAGTCCACCAAAGTGAAGCATCACAGAACTATATTCACGGGAAATGCATACAGGACCTTACAGCGTCCTACAAAGACGTCACCGAACTTAAGAACGGATACAATGCGACAAAACACTGCGTCTTTATCTACTTTAGATGCTTTGCAAGTTATACCCTGATAAAAATATTTCCCCTGGGGCTGCACACGAGATCACATCTGCTTCCCTGAGGAATAGCAAGGAAAGCCCCTGTGCTCCTCAAGGAATGACAGGGGATCCCCTGTACTCCCAAGGAAATGAATAGGGGTCACCTGTGCACCCATGGGAGTCTGGGGATCTTCAGTCCTGTCCCTCCGTCCCCGCGCGTCCCGTAGCTTTAAGGTTCGGTTGGTTGACTTCCGGCTTATCGGTTGTTTTTTTTTTTAGTTTATTTATTTTTCAATCCACTTTTATTTATTTGTTGATTTTTTTATTTATTGATTTTTTAATTTATTGTTTCTTATTTATTGATTTTTTTTATTTATTGATTTATTTTCATAATATTTTTCAGGTGCTTTAAAGCCAAAGAGATAGTATGGAGCCAAATAAATTCGATACACTAGGTACTACATATTTTATATAAATAATTTAACATATTTTATTTCTTTATGAAAATACATTTTATTCTACTTATAAATTGTTTATTTTCATATACTTTATTTTATTTTATTTATTTATTTATGTTAATCTTTTTTTATTTTAATGTATTTATTTATTTAGGTTAATTTATTTCATTTTCTTGTTTATTTTATTTAATTCAATTTAATTTCATTTCATTCATTTATTTTTCTTCGTTTTAATAACTATATATAGTTTTTTTTTATTTTGATTCATGTGTTATTCACTTCTTTCTTTCCTAAAATTGATCTAATTTTTTATTATTTTTGTTTCTTTGCAACTGCTTAATGTAGAAATTTTCAAGAATATCGTTGCTTTCCATCATGGAATCAACGCGGCGCGGCGCTGGGGATGTTCATGCTTGCTAAATCTCCCTCGAATACACGTGGGCCTCCGGAGCTCCACGGCAGCGGCACTCGGGCGATCACGAGGGTTAAGTAACGTCGGGCGTAGTTAGTACTTAGATGGGAGACCGCTTGGGAATGACCGCCTTGCGGAGGTTTGCATAATAGCAAAGAATTACTTTCATGTCTAAAACATGCCACGGCAATAGTACGAATTAATTTTCGCGTTTAATCCTTAATCTTTTTCTTCTATGGCTCTGCTAGTGGAGACGGCATTTTGGGCACGGACTAGGGAGCTCCCCATGGGAGCCACTTCTCATGGGAGCCACTTCTCATGAGAGCCACCTCTCAGGGGAATTATTCCCCTGCCCAAAACAGCCTGAGTGAAATTCCCATGAGAAATTTTTAGCAGGGTAATAACGAACAATAAAATAAAACATATTCCAATGTTGCCAAGCTTAAATATAATACCTACTATGCTGGTTTTTGACGATATTGGCCCTATATTCATGTTCACTTCTAATTTTTAAATTTTATGGATGTAACTCTCATGCAAAAAAAAAAAAAAAAATACACTTCGGTAGAATAAATTCATTTTCAATTTGGGTTTATACTGATAACTATTATATTTAGCCCAGAAAGTCAAAATTTTTAATATAGTGAATTTTGTTGGGTCGTGTCAAGAAATCACATTTTGAGACATTAATGGAAAACTTTCTGATATTGGCTAATGAATAAAATGGACTCTCTAGACTAATTTCATCGATAAAAGACAGGACGCATTGAAATAGGTATTGCCAAAATTCCGTACCTACATTTCTTGGATTTTTGCGTTATTTGATCATTATCATTCATCGCCCTATATTCAGTACTTATACATTTTTATTTTATAATTTTGAGAAAATGGAGATAAAACAAGAATATTAAGAATGCCTAAGTGAAGAGGAAGCCCAGGAAAGGCTGATAAGGGGCTTTAAAAGGAATAAGAGAGCTCCAACTGCCTGAGGACCATGGAGACCAGGAAGGCACTATGGCGGTTAGGTGTCGCAGAGCGCAAGAGACCGCTATTTAACCGGCTCTTATGTACGTATGTAATAATGCAATAGTTTTTCGTTACACTCTGTATAATTAAGATTGTCCTAAGAAATGTTCGTTCAGTCGGAAAACAAGAGACACAGGACAAAAACCGCAAAAAGCGCCTTTTTTCAGTTCGCCGCATGTCGCGCGTTTAATTTTGCCGTGAACAGAAAGCATAGGATCCAGCTTGTAGAAAATTTAACATAAGTTTCAACTATGGAAATCACAAGCGTCGTCGCTCCATAAAGCTGTTTACAAAAATGGTCATATCTCGCGAGCAAAGCATTTTCATGCGAGGTAGGTATAATATATCGATGGATGCGGAATCATACGAACTATCGAATAGACAACTTTTCATTCAAATCAACATAGAGCCCTTTTTTATATTTGCGGATTTGTAAAAATGGATGAATGTAAAAATCGAAAAATTGACGACATCGCATGCTAAAATTAATGGGACATTAAAATCATTAAGATATCTTCGAAATGCGAATATTTTAGAAAATTTTCGTCCAAACCGCGACTTCATAGTTCAATTTTAAAGCCACCTACAGAATTTTCACGGTTCCAACTTACGGCAATGCTGGAGCGCACGGGGAGAATTTTTGGTGAACTTGCCATAACCGGAAAAAGGCGTGTCCTGGGATAGGGAGCAACATATCCAATTCCGAAAAAAATCCACTAGGGGGGCAAGATCGTGTATTTGGAATAACCTTCTTTCAGGTCAGAATAACTATAATACAACCCCGCAAAAATTCCTTGCCACTGATCTTTTGCCATCTTTTGGTTTACTTTATTTTGATTATCGTTGGTATTACTGACATAAACCTATGTATCCTATTTTGTTACCTATATGTCCCTCTTATTGACAATCCAAAGTTTTCTAGAGTCTCTTTGATGGCGAGCTGTAGTAAGTAGTTCTCAGGTAAAAATGTATAAATGAAAAAAACAAATTAAAAGGAAAAAGACAGTGCAGACTTCCTTTTCTGTTTCAGAAAGACAGAGAAAACAACTCACTCATAACCAATTGCACTGAAGAACATGGCTAATCTTGGTCCGGTGATACTTATAACTGAAGGAGCCAACCACAATGTTATGGCAAATACAGCATAAACGATACTTTGAGCAATGTAGCCATCCCCATGAAAAGATGGAACGTCCTTTTGTAGGCTCAGTAGGAAAGTTTTCTGCGAAGCAAATAAAATATTATTAGTCATTTCATTTCTCAAGTTGACATGGTGCAAGCCACTAAAAATCAGCTTGATGGTTCTCCCAAGATTATTCCAGCCAAGAAGACTGTTGCATAGTATCAGGCGAAACTTGTTATATATTGATTATTTTATCGGCCTTTGTAGGAAAGAAAATTTAATTTAAATATTTCCACTAAAAACTGAACATCTAGCTGCAAAAAGTTAAAGTGAATGAAATTTTGAAATATGAAAAAAGTCTACAAAACACCAGATTATGACTTACTTATTGTTAGTATGGAGACGTTAAAGCAGGATCCTTTCAGCTTACGATTTACTTTTAGGTCTGCATGCATGCTAAGTGAAATTATTTCCAAAATTTCTTTGGCACAAAAATCTTTCCTGGAGGCCACTAGGCGGGGCCTTCGTGGGGTGAGGGTTACTTAATTTGAGGCCTGAGTACTCGAAAGAAGTGTATGGGTATTTGAACTTCTTAGGCATAGAATAGTTTATTCATAGCAAAATCTGCATATGAAAAGTGATTACTCTACTGGTTAAAGGCTTTCATTGAGTCCTCACAGCTGTAAGTGGTCAAGCACTTTTGTTTGTTGATTGGCTTCAGCAAGTTTAAGCCAACCCTCTCACAAAAAACTACTCCAGATGTGACCCGCATCCTTCAAATAACACTTGGTATTATGCCCCAAAATTTGCAATGGTTTTTTTTTTTTTTTTTTTTTTTTTTTTTTTTTTTTTTTGTATTCTCATCTTTAAATACCTAGGCAGTAGGTACATTTCATGAGAAGAATTCTTCCCGGAGGAAATCCAACAGTAATGTGAATTTCCCCTTTGTCTATCTACTGACTGCTGTAAAAGCGCTATGAAGATGTTTGTGGAGGGACCAATCAAAAATCGATACAAAAATGGCCATATACAGTTAAACTTCGATCATTCAGCGCCTCAGTTATCCAGTGGACAGCCTAAGGTCATTTTGAGAATTTCTCAGGACACATTTTCGATCTAAAGTTCGATTGTTAAAGTTTTTTCCACCACTAAAAAGTATTCTGTGGATTTTCATTGATCCGGCGTTTTCAGTAGGTACCTACCCAACATGGGTCGGTGCCACGAATTTCTGGATAGCTAAGGCTCGACTGTACCTACTTTCTCTATATAAGAACTTTCAAGGTTCCACTTTCTTTTACTGCATTCTTTATTTTTTATCAATTCTTTCTCCTCGATTATCATTGATGGCAGGGGTCAATGATACGTATCATTGAGCCCTAGTTGTAGCCCTACTAGGCCATGTAGGTACATGGAAGTTTTCCAAAGCATTATTAAAAGCTTGATCATAGAGTAATTCTTCATTCTGGTAAATGTAATGAACTTCCAGGCAGCAGATTTTATTGTCCAATTTAATTTTAGCTCACTTATGAAATTATTAAGATTGACTTTAATGACGGATATCTATTTCAATCCTGAAGAGAGTTGGCTGTTACCATATAGTTTACAGTTTTTTCCGGTTTTTTTTTTTTTTTTTTTTTTTTTTGAAACCTCCAATTCTTTGCATCTATCTAGGTATCTTTCCTTCAAAATTGTTCGGAAATTCCTCGAAAGGCCAACTCGAGAAATCATTTTTAGAACTCTTAGTCAAATTGCAGCTCAAACAGCTCATGTCAGTCTAGGATACCGATAGTTACTAGGATTTTGATCGCACAAAATAACGTCTTAACATACCAACCTATGCTCCTGCTCTCCTCTTAAAAAGCACAGGATACTTTTGAAATACTCGTTTGTATGATAGACTTAACAAGAAGATTTCAGGAAAAATAGGGCAGTGTGAATCTTACCTCCATATTAGTGAGGGAGTTATACCCAGCAAAAAGAAAGAAAAATCCCAATCCAAGAAGCGCCGTCCGCAAAAGTTGCTGATTTGCAATATGCATTGTCAGTATATTTACGTTGAGTATCGATACTGTTGAAAACTACCACTGATCACTGCATTGAGGTGGAGAAAGGAATTATTTTTAGCCCATCTTGACACTTATGAAGTTGAAACTTGGGCTTAAAGTAAGTTACTGAAACATTCGAGATTTGACACACAAGTAAGGTTTATGTCCTATTGATGTTGGCAATTTTCTTTCTGGTGTTCGGGTTCAGGAAAGTACATTCTGGCTCCTCAAAGTCAGGAAAGAGAGCGATTTGCGGTTGATTTTCGATTTTTTCACAATTTGGTATCTATGAATAGACATTACGTTTGGCTTTTGATTAAATTAAAATTTGAAAACGCACATTATAGAGTAGGTATTTTATAGCGGTTTAAAGGGGCTTTCTCCATGTTCCTCAAGACTATTTTCTACATTGTGTAAATTAAAAATTATCGGACACGTTTGTCCCAATGAAATTCAGAAAAGTTCAAAATTAGGACCACCCTTATGAACGTATGTTAATGAATTTCCGCTAAAAGGATTTTCAACAAAATAAGGAATATATGGATTCATTTTGCAAAAAGGAACCAGGAGCATTGCAGTTGCTAAGATTGTGGAATCTTTTTTGTTTTGGATAAGAACAACCTGATCATCCATTAACAGTTTCTATTTTACTCGCTAAAAACTGTATATTTAAGACAACAATTACCTTGTAAATCTAATACCTATTCTGTTCATAATTTCAGTAATTTAATTGCAAAGGATGAAGTTGCACAATTCTAGAATCATCGGAATGCTTTTTAGTTCCTTTTTGCATAATGCAATTCCAATTCATATGATGATCCGTAATAAACGTCAGAAGGTTATGAGGGAGTTTTTTAGACATTAGGAGAAGAACTGAGCAAAAGCTTTTCATGATTAAAAACAAAGTTAAAATCTACCATTGGCATTTTAAAACTCAAAAGTTCATGGCTGAAATTATTGGGACTTTAAAATGTACTTTGTTAAAGAATGAAAATTAACTTTAATGCACACCTCACTCACATGGAAGCAAGAGGAAAGGAGAAAAGTATTGGGACAACCCCCCTCCCTCCAAAACCTGAGTTTTAGCACCAAGGCTATATTCTCTTTTTGATAAAGCCATATCACTCACTGCTCAAACTAGGGGGTTCATATCCCGACAAAAGAATTTTATAGACCAAAAATCAATATTAAAAAGATGAGTTTCTGATAAGACAAGGCATTGTTACATATTAATTGACACTAACTGAGAATGCCGTATCAGCTATTTGTTAGACATACAGGGTGTCCCAGAGCACCCGTACCAGGCCTTTTTCTCGGTTGATTTAGGTCGGACGAAGTCGGGGACCGCGGGGTTGAATAGGGAATTGACCCTAAGGAATCCGAATTTCATGGTCTCAAAACCCCCTAGCCTCCCTTGGGGGATGAAGGGGGGTCACGATCTTAAAAGTCGGAGTTCTCGATCGAATTTCGATTCGATTTCATTAGAATTGAAAAGTACGGAAAATTTTACGTGAAATCGACCCCTAAAAATTCAAAATCGGACCACTTTACGCCCAAAAATGATTCCTTTAAGAGGGGGACAGCGACTCCCTCCATAATTTCCCTTTGATCAATAATTGACGCAGCCTCTCCGGATAAAGGTGGTTTACCATGTAATCGACCCCAAGGAATCGGTTTTTCATGGGCCCGAAGCTCCCCTAGCCTCTCTTGGGAGTAAACGGAGGAGGCACAATTTCGACAGTCGGGGGAAATTGTGCTTCCTCCTTTTGCCCCTAAACGGAGGCTCTGGGTACTTCTCCGAAGCTTCTCCGGATAAAGGTGGTTTGCCAGGTAATCGACCCCAAGGAATCCGATTTTCATCGTCCCGAAGCCCCCCTAGCCGCCCATTGGGGTACAATGGGGGCACAAATTCCCCCAACTTTTGAAATGTTAACCCCCCCCCCCAATGGAGGCTAGGGGGGCTTCGGAACCATGAAAATCGGATTTCTTGGAGTCGATTACCTAGTACAACACCTTTGCACGGAGAAGCTGCGGCAATATTTAACCAAAGGCAAATTATGGAGGGGGCTGCTGTCCCCCTCTTTAAGGAATCATTGTTGGGCGTAAAGTGGTCCAATATTGGGTTTTTAGGGGTTGATTTCACGTGAAATATTCCGTACTTTTCAATTCTAATGAAATCGAATAGAAATTCGATCGAGAACTCCGACTTTTAAGATCGTGACCCCCCCCCCCCCAAGGGAGTGCTGGGGGGGGGTGTTTGAGACCATGAAATTCGGATTCCTAGGGGTCAACTCCCTTATTAACCTCGCGGTCCCCGACTTCGTCCGACATAAATCAACCGAGAAAAAGGCCTCGTACGGGTGCTCTGGGACACCCTGTATATTAGGGTCGGAAGAAGAAAGTACAATAGGGTGGAGCGAAAAACATTTTTTTTTTCGAAATTAATGGTGCTCACCATTTATTCAAATCACCATTTATTCGAATACGTCATCTTGATTGGGAGCCTTAGTGCCGACTTGCAAGAAATAGTAAAAACTGTCATTCAAAGGAATGGATAAATTGCCCACTGTGAAAACATTTTGCTGTCGATGATTTTCGATTAAAATGACGATCAGCGGAAGAAAGCATGGCGCTTTTACCGAAAACTACAGTCCCTTTATACCCAGAGCAAAGACATTGAAACACGTAGACCGTGCGTCCGGCTCGGTTTAGTGCTGGCGGAGCGAAGCAAGTCTCCGGAGCCCCATGATGGGCGGGCGGAGAATGGGGAGAGAGAGCGTATGTCCCAAGCACTCGAAGAGACTGCAGAGAGGCAATGGAGAATTCATGCCTGCGCTCGGTTTTTCACGAATATCTCGTTTCGAGTCCATTTTCAGACAAAATTTCTAAGAAGAAAAGTTTTAGAACACATTATTTTACACCCAATTAGCATTGCTTCAGTTGTCTGAACAAATTATTAACCGAGGAAAAAAGCCTCACAATCCGATAAAAATTCACTGGAGCCGCTGCTGCGCATGCGCAGATGTGCGCAACTGGACACGAACTCATCGATGCGGGTCGATGCCACCACTCATCGGCATGCGAATTTTTAAAGGTTGTCTCGCCTCTTCCGTAACCCCGGATGCACGGTCTACGTGATTCAATGTTTTTGACCCAGAGTTATACGATATCTCACTTTTAAAAAGCCTTAAAGCCGAAAGCCGGGAGTGGCCTTAAAAAAATCCAATTTTGATTGTTCTCGCTCATGGAGTCACAAATGAGTGCACCAAGATGGCGGTACCTTGAATGTGAACCATAATGAAAATAATACCGAATGGAGATGTTGCATGTGTGAGGAATTTGCGATTTGACTGTTGATTATTATGTAAAAGTTCGCGAGTAACACGATGGTGCTACTGGTTTTTTCTGAAATCAACTCCCAAGCTCAAAATAAGCTCTCCAGTTGAGACCAAAATGGAGGGGACATCCCACTCTACCCTGAGAGTCCACGTCTACATCAAGACAAACTCTCCATGCAAATAGGGATCAAATACATTCGCAGGGTTGCCGTGTTTTCAGTTTTGGAATCCCCAAATAAAACGGCAGCCCTGTCAATGTATTTGCTCTCTATCTTTGCATAGAGATAGTTTGTCTTGGGCCTTGTCTCCACGGGTCGTTTCACGGGATTTGTCCCTGGGAAAAATCCCAGAAGTTTCATTCCTGCGATTCGAACTTAGGACAAATCCCATGAAAACGTCCCGTGGAGACAAGGCCTTGATGTAGACGTGGACTCTCAGGGTAGGGTGGGATATTCCCCTCCATTTTGGCCTCAACTCGAGAGCTTTTTTTGAGCTTGGGAATTGATTTCAGAGAAAACCAGTGGCACCATCGTGTTTCTCGCGAACTTTTACATGAGAATCAACAGTCAAATCGCAAATTCCTCACACATGCAACATCTCCTTTGTGGTTTATCAAGAGTGAATTATTATTTTCATCGCACCAAAATGAAAATAGATTAAGAAATTATCCACTAATCCATAGAGAAAAAAAGGAGGTGTTTGTATTTCGGGCATCTTGGAATTTTTTAATGACTTGATGACGTAGGTGGGTAGGTACAGCGACGTTTAGCTAAATATGAAAGACGGACCATAATGTCCGATTTTTTTACTTAAATCAACTAGCTCATTATATAATTTCAAGCACTTTTTATAGAGTGCGACTTTTTTCCTTAAATTTCACCATTTCCAAGAAAATCGACAGAATAAAAACGTCGCCTGTACCCACCTACGTCATCAAGTCATCAAAAAATTCCAAGATGCCCGAAATGAAAGCACCTCCTTTTTTTCTCTATGCCACTAATCAATCTAATTTTATTTTATTGCAATAGCTATGTTTATGCGAGCCTCTTAACCTGACTTCAATCGAAACCTGAGTTTGAAACCAAAGTTCAAATCACGGCATAAACGATACGGAACTAACGAAATGTAGGTTTCCGAAATTTGTGTTTGAAACCTTATTTTACACTAAAGACTAGGTTTCCGTAGAGTCCCTATACCCAGAGTTGGTTGGGCCAGGATTGGGCTGAAAGTGGCCTAAAAAAAAATCCAATTCTGATTGGTTCTCGCTCATGGAGGCCGAAACGAGTGCACCAAGATGGCGGTACCTAGAATGTGAACAAGAATAATGAAAATATTACCTAATTGTGGTTTATCAAGAGTAAATTGTTATT